CTATTGCTTTTTATAGCAATTCTAATATCGATATTTTGCGAGAAATAATTAAGCTAAGCATTATCCTCTGGTGAAATTTGAAATTTTATCTTTTATACTTTGGCATCTATCTTTGCTGGAACAACACTTATTAGGCTACGAAAGCTCTCCCAACATACGTCATTCACATAAGCAGTACAATTTTATTTTCCAATGTTTCTCTACACCGTCTTGCATTATTAGTAACTGTATTTAAAAGAATTAAATTTAAATGTGATTATTATTATTATTATTATTATTATTATTATTATTGATGGCTTTGTTGTTGTTGTTGTAAGTAACGTCAAAAGCTACGGGCTGAAATATCATTCAAAATTTTTGTTGTATAATGCAAAGGAGATTAGAAAAATAAGTGTTATTATTATCCTTTGATATCCTCTCCGAAACGTCTTAGTCGAATGATAATGACTTTCCTTAGCAGCTCTGCCGTCTGTCAGGTATCTCCAAGTAATTTTGTGAAGGATAAAGATTCTTGGAAATATCCCCGAGTGTACCAACTCCAAATGGGATAACTTGAATCTAGTCAATTTCGCATTATTATTATTATTGATAGTAATATTTTTAAATAATATTCCTTTCCTTAGCTTTTTATCACAACCAATAATACTTAATAAAGGTAATGTTTACAAGTGCTAGCAAAACCTTTCTTATCGTTACGTTTAAACCTGATTAGAAATCTTGTTTTAATGAAGGGAATTTTCTTCAAACGAATATTTCAAATGAAAGAGCCGATTAAAGTTTTCTAAATGACACCTGATGTGTTTCTATATTTCAGTAGATAAAATCAACAATGTCTGGAATTTTAAGAACTAAAGTGACAAGTGAAATGCAGCGTTACAGTATCTCTAACATTGTTCTAAACATGGAAGACTGACTCACTTTTAAATATAAACCAGACGATATTTATAAATGCTAACAAAAGCTTAAATATAAAACAAATTAATCAAAATCAAAGTTTCCTCGCTTTGACTTAATAAACCCCTTCATTTTGGAAGAGGTTATCATTTTATTTACAAACTAGCAGTAGAGCCCGGCGTTGCCCGGGGATGTAACAGTAAGAGATAGATCAAGTACCGACCATCATAAAGACTGAAAAATAAAATTGACAAAAATTATTGTTTAAGGTTGTGTCTTAATTATTATTTTTTTTTTTAATTGGTCAAACCCAAACTCAAACAAAAACATTGTTTTCAATCGTTATAAGTCTACTGATTGAATAGAATTTTATTATAAACAATTGTCTTGTAAATGGAATTTTTAAAGTATTCTGAATGTAAATAAAGAAAAAAGTGTGCAAGAAAATAAGAAAGACTACCTGCCAAAAAAAGTGAAGTTTTGTTGAAATCGGTTGAAAAATGTAGGAAATCCGATCCCATATATAAACGAACACACACACACAACAACCTGGTTTTATAATAAGTATAACTCGATATGAGTTGTCCCCTTTTCATTCTGGCGGCAGTGATGCCTCTTAATCGTGTTTTTAAATTGATTTTGTGCAAAAACAATTGTGTTTTTCCAATTTTTGGCGCTGTCACAACCACCGCAAGGTAATTTTACTTAGTCCTGTAAAGTTTTGTTGAAATCGGTTGAAAAATGTAGGAAATCCGATCCAATATATAAACGTACAAACACACACACACACACACACACACACACACACAACCTGGGTTTTATAATAAGTATGATGTAACAATTCCATGGCAGGTCTTATGAATTACATGCCCGTCCTGTCGGCTGCAGTTTTAGAATACACCGACTGCACCTCTGCAGAGGGGTTAGAAAAAAGAGGTGTCCTGGGTATGACGATAAACTACATCTACGTCCTCGATACACTACGTAAAACAGCAAGGCCTCTGATCAGGAGATCAGGAGTGTGGAACCACCTCTTAATTGCTGCTGTTCCCAGGTCCACTCTGATCTGGGGTGGGTGGTAGCACGTGTTAAGATCCCAGCTATGGGCAAGTAGTTAACCCCCAAATAGTGCTCAAAACACTAGGAAAATGTAAAAATAGGTTTTAACATTTTTAATACCAGCAACAAAAATTTGAAGGAAAAATTATTACCAACAATACATTATTACCAGAAATATATTTTTGAAGAAAAAATATTATCAGCAATGCATTTTTGGAAAAAAAAATATTACCAGCAATAAAAAAAGGTTGTCGGCATTAAATAACCCATTTAGGTTGGTATACGTTAAAACAAACCAAACCAAACTGCATTACACGTAACAAATATTATGGGATAGAAGTTGTACTATTTTCAGATTTATTAAACTTAGCACAGTACAAAGCTAAATGGAGAGAAAAGGTAGAAGACAGTATTTAGTAAATATTTTTTGCGAGAGGGTATATCGGTGTGGAAGATAAGAATTCAAAATCCTGATTATATTTTGTTATATTCCGGGCTAATAGGAATATATACTTGAAAAACACAGTGGAAAAATAAGTAAAGATTTATTGTAAAAACCAGTACAATAAGTAATAAGAGAACAGTTATGCGCACGATCGTCGCAAGTCAATTCAGTATTGAGTGCTACTATTGGAAGGTCGGTATTTCTCACGTAAGTCTAATTCATACTCAACAGATCCCAGCTAGGATATTTAGATACTCCCCCCCCACGAAGGTTGTATGTGGTATAAGGCCGGTTTAACTTGGGTTCTCCGAGCCCGTAGGCTCGGCCCAAAATATTCTCTTTTTGAACCAGCATAAACGGGTTCAGGGGCAGTCTACGCCCTCCGAACGAGACTCTGCCCTTTGACGGAGTCTCGTCCGGGTTCCTGTCTGCCCGAAGGCAAATAGTTCGACTGTCTAGCTGGAAAAGATCGCAGTTAGGCTCTGTAGTCCGTTGCCTTACAGATACTTATTGGTAGTTACTACCTATAGTGTAGTCACTCATGGGGGTGACAGGTTATTCTATTACATCATATTTAACTTTGAAAACTTACTAGTTTCGTCAAGAAATCTTTACTATTCACTTATTTTCATTTAAAGTTGTCCAATCTCAGTGTTGAGTGCCCATGAAGGATCGAACTCACGAGATTAAAAATTAAATCTGCATTAATATTGCTAATTATCATTCTACAATAGGAACATGATCTTTCTTTTTAACGGTATCTGTTAAGTCAATATATTCTTAGGGCTTCCTAACAAGTTTCAATTTCTTGAATTCGCGAGAGACCTTTCGAAGTAAATTGTATAAATTGTAATCTGTTCTTGCACAGAAACTGGCTTTACATTGAACACTGACAGGCGTTGTTTTATAGGACATAATATATCATGTCTGAAAACGAATTATTATAGAGCGTAGATATGGATATACATATGGTGTATGGCTATCGAGTCGGAACGAGAAATCGACGAGTAGGGTTCGAATTCCACTTAAGTCCGTTACATTTACTTTTGCACAAATAGCATGGTAAAATACATGAATCGATCTCTTCTCGCTCAGCTATGGGTAAAATAGCAAAACGGACTAGGAAAATGACAACTTTGAATTCAAAAGCCACCTGAAGCAGTTCCAAGATGGTTAGGGCACAGATACTATGTAAAACAAAACACGAAAGAGTTTGACAACTGCTGGAGAGTAATTATGTAGAATGTTGCTGACCACAACAGACATTGGACTTAAGAAAGTAACGTACATGAATGTCGAAATATAATCTCGATTTATCGATACGTCTTTGACAACTATTTATTTCCGTCGAAATGAGGAAGATGACAAAAAATATCGGCGCAGATGATTAACTCGATGAAAAGGGTTCGAATTCAGGCTGAAGTTATGTATAATTCGAATTCTTAACTTTTGGCAATGTATCTTTCAGTTCTCTCTGTCTTATCGCAAAATATTTGAACTAAGGTCTCGTTAATGGCATACCACGTCGGTTGAGGAAGAGCAATGCCGTCAGGTTCTTCTTACTGTCGTACGATCTAACCCAATTTACTAGTTATATATGCAAACACAGTGCCGAATATTTGAGTACCTAATACATCTCCGACTCATTCAGGTGTCATGCCGGAAGATTATCGATTTTGTTGCAAGATAAATCTCGCTAACACTCGCTGTAAGGTAACTGAAGAATTTCGTTGGACGAAATATCGCAAATCGAAGACGCAATCACCATTAATTTTATGGGGGAAAATGTTAGCGTCCCCAAAGCTTTAGTGAAATATTCACCACGATCGACAATGATGCAATAACAGCAAAAAATTATTTTAAATTATAAAAAGGGAAGTAGGCTTATGGCAGGCGTAGATTATGTTTTAAGTGCCTACATAAGATTTCAAAATTGAATACTGAATTGATTTCATTTGTACCTCAAATTAGCCTAGCTTAATTTGAAATAAGACCCAACAGCTGCAAAAAGCGAAAATCAAAATTTAATAATGCCGGCATTTCAAAGTTAGTCCCAAAAGTCCCAAATAAAAAATTAATAGCATTAGGTTTTGAAAAGTAGCCCGTGTGTATCAAAATTTAAAATTTTAAAAAATTCAATAAGAGTCTTTTACATTTACACTCGGTGCCACCTATATAGAGTTATACAAATCACTTAATAAACAACTCTTACCAAAAACGCTCTGTTGAGCCATAGCTTTACTAGCGATATAGAGAAAATTATGATAAACCATAATAGAAAAATAATGGAGGTATGTGCTAGCAGGGAATCACGAAGATGTAACTGCAAAGGAAAAAGCAGTCTCCTTTCAACGGAGAGTGTTTGGAAAAAGGATGTTGTTTATGAAGCTAAGGCGATTCATGAAGTGTCAACAAATACTACACATGAGATGCCGAGGGTAAATTGAAAAGACGTTTCTACAAACATAAAATCAGCTTGGTGGGACTAAGGAATGTAACACGCTAGAACATTTGCCATTGTAAAAGCGATTGAGTAGTGAGAGGCTTTTGCCAATATTTCTTATAATAATATAATATTAAAAATAAATGCAATAGAGAGCATATGCTACTGAATACGATATCTATCTATCTATCTATCTATCTATCTCAGTCTGTTCATATCTATCTATCTATCACTTCTGGGGGAAGAAGGTGTCTGAGTGGAAGTTACTGCTTACCAAAAGAACACGAGGTGAATGGCGATAATTTGACACCGTGAATATAGAAGTTGTGAAGGCCTGAACTGGCGGAACTAAGCAATGTAACGTGCTAAAACATTTGCCACAGCAATAGCGATAGTTTAGTGGGAGGCTATCAACGTTTCGTCTGTGTGGTAAGATTCGAAGGATGGGAAAAAAATCATCACCCACGAGGCCGCTTAAACGCTTTTGAACTGTCAAGTATGGACAGTTAGGACTGTGAGAAACTAGCCCAAATATGAAACCAATATTCGATATTATGTCAAAAGCTGACTCTTGTAAAGATAGAGAATCTAGCATTTTTTGGAACACTAGAATTCAAATTAATTCAAACATACGCGTGGCGTAATTTGTAAAATGGTTACCACGAATCAAAATCTGATATCACTTGATCCTGATCGTGATGCATATGAGATTTCTTGGGTCTTTGGCTATATATATATATATATATATATATATATATATATATATATATATATAATATAACTTATTATAAGAAATATGGCTGCGTTGTGTTAGATTTCCAAGTAAAAGATCCCCACTAGTGCGTTGGTTAAATTGTTACTGTTTTATATTTTTAATTTCGCGCATGTACTTTGTTTTTTATTTGATTTTGCTGACTGTACACTTTAGTAGGGTCAGTTGGACACCATTTGTAAAAAAAAAAAAGGTGCCCACGACACAAATCTCTCCACCAGAAATCTGTACAGCTTGGCATTCGCGCCTGAAGCTCCAATACGAACATTTCAGAGATGGCTGTCAATCTGTGGACGGTGCAGAGCATTCGGAAAGAGGTGGATGAGTCTAATGGTGATTACGAAGGTACGCCTGCTCGGAGAACTCACTCTGATCCTTCTGATTAGAAAAGAACTCCTGAATGTATTGATGAACGCCTCAGACTCAACACGTAGGCCGAGATCAAGTGCCTTCAGGAGGTAGTGTTGCCCTCGATAAGACCATATGTCAGGCAACAGGACTCTGCACCATGCCACACAAGCAAGAGTGGGGTCCATCATTGCTCTCAGACAATTTGTGCAACCACATTACCCCTTACGTCTCCAGATTGCAACCCCTTTGATTATTATGTGTGGGGTGCAGTTGAACGAGAGACCAACAAAACTCTTTGTAACACCAAAGATGAACTGAAGGCAATGATTATAGCAGCATTCACCAACTTAAACAAGGAGACAGTCCAGAACAGTTGCAGAAGATTCTTAAGTCGTCTGGAAGCCGTGATTGAAGCCAATGAGGATTTTATTAAATAAATCTACTGCTTGGTATTTCAAGGTATTTTGTGTAATTTAGCCAAATATATCTGATAAAATGATATATCAGTGTTATTTTTATTTTTGTATAATTTATACGACAATTTATCCATCGCACCCTGGACTTACCTTGGTAATTCTCATTCGACACTGTGTCTTCTGGCTGGAATCAAATGCTTTACCAATGACGTTGCTTTGATATCTGGAAGAGTCTTGGTCACCAAACAGATCGACTTTTTACATTATATGAGCTTTCTATCACGTTTGTGATGTTGCATGTTGTTTTTTTTTTAAGGCTTTTAATATCAACTTCCCCATTCGCATGTGCAAAAGAATCACTGTTTATTTTTCTAGAAGATATGAAAGTGGTCTTTTAAAAATGTCAATCGAGTCGGCTAAAGACCACTCGGTTCATAAAAAAAAAAGATTGCTCGATTTATCGTCGAGAGTTTGAAATGTGCTAAACGAAAAGACACACATATATATATATATATATCATGAAGAAGAGATGCTACATAGACAAAAAAACCTTTATACCAAGAAGTGTTGAAAATTATAAGATCAGCCAAGGGAACCTCGAGGCGGTTTAATGGTTACCAAGCTTGTCTCGTAAAAACAATTACGACTGATTAGTGAGTCCGATCCTCATTGGATGCCCCATACTTTCGGCCTTGTGCCACATCTGAGCTACTCTTGGAAAATCACTATAAGATCAGTCAATAATCCTTTACATAAGTAATCTGGGATTTGATCATTTGGCTAGATTTTTGGAAGCTGTTTGAGACGAAAACGTTTCAGTATCCATATGCAAGAATAAAACTTTTGGATTTTTTCCCTATATTCTTCTCTTTCCATAAACTCCACCCGTTCTGTATTATGTAAAAAAAAAAATAGTAAAATAGTAATAATTATGCGTTTTTGCTAGTTGATAATGCATTAAAAGTAACAATGATATTTTATCAGATACAAGTCCTACTATTTAACCCATAGCAGGGGAATATGGATTCATACTTTCCCCAAGGATATTTACGCCTAGCTGAATGTTACGAAACCGACTGGAATTCGTACTCTGTTCTCCAATTTCTCCTTTCAGTCCGCGATCCATTATACCAAACACACACATAAAGCAAGAAGGATATATATATATATATATTATAATTTTATCATATAGACAAAAGCATTTTACTCACTACAAATATGCAACTTCGTTTCAGTGCATTTCAACTGCACATCGACTGGTGAGAAAATAATTATTTTTCTACTATCAGTATCGAGCCCTCTTTTTGGATTAAAGGTGTGAACGTTAGAATTTATATATTACTTTCGTTCTCATCGCATCTAATATATATATATATATACATATATATATATATATATATATATATATATATATATATGTATGTATATATATATATATATATTGATTTAGTATATATATATATATTCATTTATATATATATATAATATGTTAATTATATATATATATATATATATATATATATATATATATATATATATGCAAACGGAAGTGAAAAGAGCGACCTGCATATACACATCGACAGATTTCTGCAGGAGGAACAGCGCCGTACAAAAGCAACTTGCAGTCATTGAGTTAGACACGGAGCACAGCAGAGGTAGAAGTACCAATTCATTCACGAATAATACTAACATTTTTGGTGGGTACTATGCTAGTCGAATTATATAAAATATACTATTTATAAGTACCAAACGACCTACCTAGAGTGTGTGCAATGCTTACTAAATTTTTTTGAAACCAAATGACTACTACTGTAATCATCATCCTATAATAATATACAAGCAGATCGACTTTTTACATCATATAAAACGATAAACTACGACCAACAGCAAGGCCTCTGATCAGGAGGATTAGAGGAGCGTGGAACCACCTCTTAATTGCTGGTGTTCCCAGGTCCACTCTGACCCGGGGTGGTTGCACCTGATAGTTAACCCCGAAACTGAGGTAAAAAGCATTATAAAAGTGCAAAAATAGGTTTTAATACCAGAAATACTTTTAAAAAAATTATTACCAGAAATAAATTTTTGAAGAAAAAAAATATTACCAGCAATACGTTTTTGGAAAAAAATATATTACCAGCAATACGTTTTTTTAAAAGAAATATTACCAGCAATACATTTTTGAGGAAAAAATATTAACAGAAATAGATCTTTGACAAAACAAAAATATTACCAGCAAAAAAAAGTTGTCGGCATTAAATGATCCATAGAGGTTGATATGCCGTAAAATAAACCAAACCAAACCAAACCTATAATAATAGTACTACTATAATTGGTGCGTAGTATGCTAGTAAAAGTATATCAAATATAGCATATATCAAACCAGCTACCTATTGTATGTCTAACGCTTCATATATTTTCTTGGAAGACAATGGCTTCTGTTTTAATCTTTCTGTTAACTGATCCATTGTAAATTCTTTTACCCCGCAATCAATTTGAATCCCAGCCTAATCTCAAAATATATACTAATGGCTACTTTAAATCCTTTATTTTACAAGTGGCGTTGTTAATGGAAACCATGACATCATGACTAGGCAGTATGTCGACCAGAGAAGACGAAAGCTCCTAGCTCTTAATCTCTGTCTCATAATTATTAATATCACGACAGCCAGGCTTTGCTACATTGCCCGCTATCGGATGTTTCTGTATGTTCTATATATTGCAATTCTATTTTTTTCTCTTAGAACCTAATTTCTGCCTTAAAAGTACTTTATATATGGACACACACTATATAAGAACTTTGTATATTTACTCCACACATTGTATTATCATATTTGTCACCACAAATGTGTTAATACAATGTGTTTCCTCCCACCAAAGAGGCTCTTCCGCCTACTATAAGATTAGTAGGATAGAAGCCTTCGGGGAACAGTCGACCAGATTGGCCATCTGTCGAACTCTCTGCCTTGAGCGGAGAGGAACCTGGACAAGGCTTTGCCGAAGGGCAAAGTTTCGTCCGAGGAGGTAGACAGGCCCTGAAACCGTTCATGCGGGATCTAAGGGAATATTTTTGGCCGAGTCTACGAGCTCGGAGAACCCATGGTAAATTCGGCCTTGTGCCAAATACATCCCTCATTGGTAGGGGGGGCTGTTAAATATAACAGTGAATAGATTGAGCGCTAGTTCATTCGATACACTCTCGCTAGTCGTGTAATACACTTCTGATGTACTTACTGTTAAATATACGATATGTCTGCAAACCTGTTTTTTGTTATTTACTTGGTCACAACAATATTTACGTTAAAATTGCTTTTATCCCAAAAAAAAGACTCTTTCATCCTTGCATGATTCTCTTATATATTACTTTTTCTTCATACAGTGTTTTATGAATATTAAACTTATTTATTTTAAATAAATATTATCGCGGAATTAATTTTTGATATTGTACTATTAATGTGAATTCTGCCATTTCTACGAATTCTACTGGCAACATTTAAACCTTTTCATCCTGGCCGTGTCATAGTCGACTAAACCAGTTCCCTCACCAGGTTTTTTGTTCAGGTGAGGAGGGTGTCTAAATAACCAGCAGATTTAAAAATAAAACCTGTCAAAGGATGGGTAAACTTTCGTGTAGGGACAACGGCTATTGTTGCATTGTAGCTCAACCAAGACACCCTTGTGCGTTGACAGGGTGCAGCTTCTTTCTGTCAGAGGCTTGTAACTTAAAAATTAACTTCGGCCAGATTGTTAACCACGAGGGAAATGCAAAACAATTTCTTGCAGTAAACATAATTTTATTCTTGGATTGTAACCTACTACTATAAGCAAGCGAAGTTGAGATGAGACGAAGGAGAGGATAGGAGGCAAACAATCTAACGGGTGTCTTCCCTTTCCGTCGTTCTCCGACGCTCGCTTCGTTACTCTGTGTCTTTTCAGAGTACTTGTCAGTTTTATAGCTAGCATGTTTCTGAGTCTTCTCGTCTTCGTCTAAAACAGCAATTTATCTTCATTCAGCAACTGGGCCGCTCGTAAATATTCCGAATCCATTTTTGCGACATGTCTATCAGTTTTCATTTTAACATGATCTCACTTCACTGATATTTCTACTCCATCTAACGCAATGGAGCAGACTGGGCCCCAAAGCTCCACAGTCATTGTGCTGATGACAAAGCATCGCTGGATAGAGGGCCGACCAAACTGAGGACAACAACCAGGATGAATAGTTCCTCCGATGTAATCAACGGCCACGTGTCCGTGATCCAGGGTATCATTCACGTTGGTAAGACATCAACATTGGTTTAACCTGAAGAACGACGGGCTTCGACAAGTCTACTTACCCAAGACAAGCTATGCATGAATGAATGTCTTACCGACTTTTAAACCAGATATGTGTGGGAAATGCTCAGGTTCTCAGCTAGGAAGCGACCCTGCAACCAGACTAGGTCATGGTACCTGTCATAATAACGATTACCTTTTAAATACTTAATCTTTTTACTGGTAGTTAAAGTATACTGCCATGAAGTGTTATATTTAATTTAATTCCTTCCTGACATAGGACCATACGAGAAGGATTCGAGGATTTTGAGTGCAACTGTTAACCTGTCAGGAGGGCCCGACACGCCCAGTTGCGTCCATCCCCCACACTTTTCTGTAACTCCTGATCACAAATTTTCAGTAGTAGGCTGGACCTTCACCGCCATCTTCTTCACTGGCACCAGAGGGGAGAAAGGGTATAAAGAAAGAGGATGGCGATCCCGATGATCGGATGTGAGTGGGTGTCGACGTTAAATTTTATGCTTTTCTTTGTATTACCTCTTTAGGCCAACAAAGGGTTGTATTTAGATGTTGTTCCTTGTCATACCTCAATTACCTCTTAAGCTCTTGTCATACAAGTTATTCTGTGTGTACCCGTGCCAGAAATAATGACGGTTTATTTTTTACCCGCCATATTTATATTGTCGATAATTGACTTCAGTGAACAAAAGATTATTTACTCTATGAATTCTGTTTTGTACATTTATTGAGTTTCTCATGGCGCCAGTATTTGCATTCCACCTTCTGTTGCTTTGCTCTTCAGTTTCTTGTAGAAGATGTTCTTCCATTCGCATTCTCATGGTTTTCTTTGTGCTAGATTCTTCCTCTGTTTCATTTTGAATTCTTTCAGGTATACGTTGTCTCATAGCAGCTTTTCTTGCATTAGCTCCCCCCTCTATTTCATGTACTCTTCTTTGAGCTTCTTTCTATCTTTCTCCCCCCCTCTCTCTCTCTCTCTCTCGTACGCGGGCGCAGGTATGCTCACCCATTAAATTCTTCTTTACATTATTCGGACTATTGTCCTCATATTAGTTGCCATATTTATTACAACGTTTCGGCCGTCGTACGCTCCGGCCTTCTTCAGGTGGTTGGAATGTCGAACTGAACGCCTTATTTTGCTCACTGAAGGCAGACTGTTCTATTTCCACTTGCCATGTCTAATGGATCTCAGTTATCAAGGACAATCTATTAAGCAGTTTATTAAACAGTATATGTATTCCGCTATACCGGCCGGAATATTCAGGAATTCTTATTTTTTTTTTAAAAATGCGTTCTGTGGGTATGTTTCGAACCAGCGGTCCCGTAATGACAGTTTCCCTTTTCAGTCCATGAACATTAACCGTTCAAAATTAAGAACACGGCCTCAATCTTATACAGTTGAAATGGAGAGCTGTAACAGTAAATTCTATGGTAAAAGTTTGTGGATCTCCCTTCTGGCTTCTGGCTTCCCGGTAAACTTTGGTCTTCAAAAACATATGTGTGTACGTGTGTGCGTGTCTCTCTGTGTGTGTTTAAAATCTAAAGTCCAAACGTTTACTGAAAATTTTCCATAAGAACTTACATCTATTTTATTTTTAGACAGGCAAGCAAAACAATTTTTATTTTTAAATATGTATGTCGACCTTTAAAATATAGAAACAACTAAATGACTTATGTACTTCAGGGTAGAATTACATAATATCGAGTTGGAGGGAAATTGTTGATTTCAAAATGACAATCGATCACTTTCAACCCGGATCGATTCCAGGCTCTATTTCGTTAATTGGAAAATGCTCTATAAATACCCAATCAATATTCTTGATTTAACAAATTGAAGGCTACCGCAACCTGAAAAGACGAAATAACCCGTACTTGAAAATGTGACTGAACGATACACGATACAAATGAGGTTTAATTTCTGCCATTGACTGTTTTTTTTTTTTTTCTTTTCTTACTTCGGTTCTTTTTTTACTTTTTACTGGAAAGAAAACTTGCAGTAAATTATTCTCCTTGTTTACCTGTCCAGAAACAAAACCTAAAATATACGATAGCAACGGGGAAAGTTGATTTCTTTGAAAGAACATTTCAAAGACATCATTTCAGCAAAGCATCTGTTGCCATGGAAACAGAACTGATGCCTGCAAGTAGAATAAAAACACTGAACTATTAATCCTGTTCACGAGATTCTTTCTGTTCCCTCGAGATTTCAACACTTACGACGAGAAGCAGGGATTGACCAATCAAAAGTCTTATCTCATAGTAAACGATTCAAGAATTCTTGGTTTGCTTCTTCCGTCAACCGGTTGTCTGATCCTTCAAGCGCAATTTTGCAGCCCATGAAATTAATCATGTCGCGCTGTCTTTCCCGTCGTCTGCATCATATTCCCTTTAGTATGCAACCATTGGTTTCATGAATACATTGCATTAATAGTGAGTGTTTAACTAATTGCTGTCTCATGCTGGGGAAAACATGCTCTATATAATAAAAATGTGACGAGTCTGACAATTCTTCTTTTTTTTCTGTGTACTCTATCCCTTCAAAGCGATCATCACTCTCCACAACTTCTTATCTTTTGTAACAACTATCTCATCGCTCCTTGCTCTGCCATTCATTTACACAAGCTCCTTAATTATTCGATGCATTTCCCACGTCACCCCTACCTTTAATATATCTTGTGAGTGTCAAATTTCCCAGACATTATTTCCTCGTTATGTTTCCCCAAAATTTATTTCAGATTCTAAGGATAAGGATCCTTTTTGTTACCATTTTAAAACTTCCTCGTTGCTTACACGATCCGTCCATGGCATTCTCATCATCCTTCTGTAGAACCACATTCATAATGCCTCACGTCTTCTCTTCCTCTCTGCGGAAATTATTCAGTATTAACTGTCTTATGTGTGGATTGATATGACATAGTAATTCAACACTTTGTTTCTAACGAAATTTTCGTGTTTCTTAATACATTGCTTAGCCTGTTAGAAGGCATCTTATTCTATTCCAAGGTACTTCCAAATGTTATTGGCACATTTTCTGCCACTTGTTGAAACACTTCACTGATACTCAAACTTCTGTATTAGTTTGAATTTGACATCTCTAATTCGTAGCTTGCAAGTTTGGGAATTTTGTATCTCACAATACTTATTTGATACCTATATTAAACCATATTGCAAATTGAAATTATTTTATATAGTAAAAGAATTCAAGAGGCATTAGTTTTACATATACTTATCTGACAATTGGTATGTATGTATTGTTCAGATAACATGGATATATATATATATATATATATATATATATATATATATATATATATATATATATATATATATATATATATATATATATATATATATATATATATATAACAGAAGATCAAATATAGATAAAGTATGGATAGGAATCTAAAAAATGAATAAAGAATAAATAGGAAACAGATCTCAATCTACCCTATTTAATTTTATTAAAGTTTCATCAGAGATCGAGACAGAAATGATGTAAATTGATAAAAAGCAAAGAGACGCAGACTAATGCTAGGTTGTGTTTGGTTAGTAATTATTGGTAATCTAACCTGTTAGACTGAGATCTGTTTCCTACTACTTTTTCATCCTATATATATATATATATATATATATATATATATATATATATAAAACAAATCTGTTAAGAGGCCAAAAAATACCGTACCACAAAACGGATATATATCAAAAGCGCTCGATGCAGGTGCCTTGAAAAAAGACATGCAGGGCAAGTAAATCAAATAAAGGAGTAAAATACCCTATGCCACCGCACACAACAATGGTTTCGACCGTCCGACATTAAGTGCCCGTAATACGATACTACAATTACACAGTTATAGCAACGGAAGTCGAGAAGGGGAGGAGGTGTAGAAAGAAAAAATATTTCTTCATCCGGGGTTGTAAAGACCGAGAATATTTTTACTTATATGTCTACACCTGGACATTATTTCGGTTCTGCTATTTAACAAAATAATACTGTTCTTATAAGATGCTATAGCCAGCTTCTCTTCCTGGCAAAGCCTACAACTTCTACCACTTGTCCGGCTCGGTTTGACTTGGTTTAAGATACTCCACTTTATACGTGAGTTTTTGCTATGTTCATCCTTCAATTTCCAAACGTGATTTTTCTCTCTTAGTCTGTCAATACGACTGATTTCGAAATTTCTGATAACACTCTGGCACAAATATCTCCAGTTATTTCTATGCAAAGTGGTATCAGAAATTTTGAAATCATTCGTATTGACAGACTAAGAGAGAAAAATCACGTTTGGCAATTGAAGGACACGTCCTGTCTACTTATTTTCAATTGCATCCTTTCATATTCCCTGATAAGTTTTTTGGTGTCGTTATTGAGGGACAAGAAGAGAAAATCGCCGTCTTAATACATTAAACGGTATCAGTGGTCACACACTGACTCAGCAGTTCTTCACTCCACAAGAAGGAAATTTAGCTTTCAGTAGTTTTGTCTCCGACAATAATAAATAATAACTTATTTATCTTGCAATAAACAATACCCTGAGGATGACATTGTGCAATGTTGAAAGTACTCGGAATAAAAGAAATATATAACAACACGGCGATTATCTCTCTTCCTTCAATAACAACACCAAAAAGCTTATATATGAATATGAAAGAATCCAATTGAAAATAAGTAGGCAGAAAATGTCTAATTATATATATATATATATATATATATATATATATATATATATATATATATTTTAATCCCTATGGATAATTCCAAATAGGATATAAATCCAAAGAGAGCCCAATGTAAAAACAGAGCAAATGACAATTATTATAAAAACGAAAACTTTAAGAGATCATTGTGTTATTTTATTTCGTTAGAACCGATATTTATTCCAAGTCATCAGACCGCATATTCAAATATTTCAATGATCTCTTCGTTTTTATAATAATTATATATATATATATATATATATATATATATATATATATATATATGGACAAATATATTGTCTAGATAAACAGTTGTCTGGCTGTACAGCGTAGCCAACTTCATTAGGCTTTTGACTGCTTTTTCATTTTGTTTTTATTGTTGTTGTTTTAAAATATTCCTCATTTTGAAAACATTGTTTTTGTTATGAAGACATGTTATGCTGTATGATATCTTCTGGGCGTACAATTACTGTGAAAGTCTCAAACATTAATTCACTTTATATTCATTTTTGCCAGAATAAATTACATTCTCTTTTAATTAAAATTTCATTACTTAAATCAAAATTATAGTCAGACAGGTTTTTTATGAACGACTAATGCATTAAGTCGTTCACTGTCGTGAGTCTGATGAGAATTTTGACTTAATTCACTTTTAATTGAAAGAAAAAGTAATTTTTAACGCGAAAATATATAGAAAGTGCATTAATTTCTGAGCCTATCACGGTAACTTTACACGTTTTGACTGCATTTTACATTTCGTACGCACACCATTTCTTCGGGATGATTGTTCACGAGGGCGATAATAAAAAAAATAAAAATAAAGTGTAAATGCACTCCCGCTCTAGAATTAATTTCAGGCGAGAGAGTCCCAGAGGCTTGATAATGAGTTCAGTCTCATTAGCCTTTCTCTAAGTGGACATCTCCTGTATAAGCTGTAACAACCACATCTTCAAACCTGTAAAAGAAAAGAGCTTTTCCCATTTGTATAAACTGACTGGAAAATTTCCACGGTTCATATTAGTTGACAGCCATCTTACTTGTAAAATAAGTAAACAAAAGAATTTTCATCGCAAATTTAGTTATTTAGGCTAAGAAAAAGAAAGGAAAATCTTTTGGGACACATATTGTGGTAAGTAGGTTGGTAGAATTTGACACTCACAAGTCATAATGAAGGCCAGAAAAACGAGGATCATCCCACCTAATAAGTTTGATTAAAAGGATGGCAGAAGAAGGAGTGGGAAGGATAGCAAAAAGACAAACATTATGAAGAGCTACAAAGGATAGGAAGTTGTGGAGAG